ATATAAATAATAATTAAATAATAATGGTTTATCTTTTTGTTTATATCCATGYGTCCACAGTTTATCCCTCCATCTTTGCCACCTGTTATGTGTTACTGTTTTTGTCCACTTCTGGTGGTGGCTGGGACAAACATCTCTGGGGATCCAAAAAAAAAGGGTGAATAATTTGAGGTAGAAGCTGTCCAGCGGCCACTCACTGCTCAGTTGCAGCAAATAATTTTGACGCAAATTTAATTAGAATCATATGGACTTCAGACGTCCTCTGAGGTGTCAGAGTTCAGTCCTGGTTGCTTCACACATTCATTCACCATCAGCCCAAGGTGTGTGTGTGTGTGTGTGTGTGTGTGTGTGTGTGTGTGTGTGTAAATTACCTGCCATTTCTGTTACAGTTCCTGCAACCAAATGAGGTGAGAGGCATAGCCAGCCCACAGAGATGTTGTCTCCTATGAGGTTGCAGGAATAGGGAGTCTGATTGCTTTGCTCAAGGTCAACACGCCTTGGGTGTTGTAACATATACTCTGATAGTTTTTTTTTCTTTCTTGATTTAAATATACAGAGTATTTTTATTTTCCTGCGTGTGGCACACAGAAGCCACAGTGTGCAGTGACGCGGATCGGTCAACAGTTGCACATCGTCCTGGTTCTGCTTTTCTGCAGAAACAAACGTTAAAACTCAAACTGTTCTCAGGATTTAAACAATGATATTGTTTTTTTTAATTGACACTAAGCTCTGTGCTGCATTCCACATCCTCTTCTCTGAGTATCTTGTGTTGCAGTTTGGAGATGAACTTTATTGGGGGACTTGAAAAAGGAAGGAGAGAAGTTTATTTTAAAACCTTCAGTTTAGTTGTCCTGATGCATCTCAGTAATCCAGGTAAAAAATCAAAAAGAAAAAAATTGTGTAGGTCCTCTGGATGGGTTCTTCTCTAATGAAACGTTTCGTCTCTCCTCCAAGAGACTTCTTCAGTCTGAGAGTTTCAGGCAAAATACAGGCTTTTAAGCCCTGCCTCCATGTGACTGATACTCACATCACATGGCTATCGTTGACACCTAATTAACACTTATTCTTAACAGGGGGTGAAGTGATACTGGCAATGGCCGCGCTGTAGGAGAGGGACAACTGAAAACGGAGGCCTCCACCTCTGTTTAATGATGGACGGTCTTTCTTCGCAAAAATGGCTTCTTTTACTCCTCTCTCAAACCAACGTTCCTCTCTATCAAGAATGAGAACATCCGACCGCTGGCCTGTAAATGAGTGAAAACTGCAGAGTTCTGGCCATTAGATGTAGCTCGTCTGTGTTGGGACATTCTTTTGAACAGTGGCTGCTTTGTTTCCCCGATGTATAACTGGTCGCAGTCCTCCTGGCACTTAACAGCATATACAACATTGCTCTGTTTGTGCCGGGGCACCGGATCTTCAGTTTAGTTTCAGTTTAAATCTATTGGAGATAATTCAACAAATGACTTAATGCATCAAGGACAGAGTTGCAATATCATTTTTTGGCTGAATGTCAGTTTATTCACGTATGAATTTTCAGACTTTCAGTATAAATATTGCTGTAAATCTGACATTTTGTCCAAATCTGGCTCACTTTACTTGTTAGCTTTTAAACTGGATAGAAGAAGTCTCAACTTCTCTCCTGAACACCTGTTGGCCTTATTAATTTGTCTTTTTTATTGATTATTTTTAATCATACAGTCAGAGTTGAGTGAAGATTAAATCWGAATCATGATAGATAAAGCTAATTTTTTGACTTATTAAAATCCTATTGGAATGCAGCCTTTTTGAAATGATCCACACTTAAATGTTCTGTTTGGAGTGTCTCTTTTATCTCTGCAGGGCTTCATTTACTCCCATTTAAAATACAATCTGAGTTGTTTCAGCCACACAGAACTGATAATAAATGTACATTTTTGTAGAAAATTTTAGCCTGTACATGATTTTTTTAACAAACTGCTGAAGATTCAAATGACTTTAGTGATGATACATTATTTTGCCTCAGAATGCAGAATGTTTGATGTACAACATTTAATGTAAAAATAATTTATATAAATGTGTTTTTTTTTCCTCAGAGGAGGGAGGGGACATATTGATGGACCCACTGATGGTCGACTGGTTTAACCTCATTAGGAAAAAGCAGATGTACATAAGGAAGGAATCAGAGCTTGTGTACATGTGAGTAGACTGTGTGGTGTCTCCTGCAGCAGCTTTTGTCCTCAACATAAAATGCAAAACAGACCAGTCTAAATCAATTYGCTTAATTTATTTCAAAGTTGATGTTTTTCCTTTTCTCAGTCCTAAATGCTTTATTTATTTATTTATTTATTTTTGGCTGCAGAGCCAGGACTCAGGAGCTGGAGCGCCAGCAGCCGGGAGTGGAGGGAGAACTCCGCAGGCTGCTGGAGAAACCAGGTAAACCAGGTTCAAACAGGATTTTAAATCTTATATTTTAATGTTACGAACGTTTAGAAGTCATTTCCTCTCAAGTCTTGAGCGTTCAATCAGCTGCAGCAAGTTTCCTTTTTTGTGTGAACGCTTCAAAGATGAGATCTCTCCGCTCACCTATTTAGCTTCCAAGATATGTTGTGCAAGTAAGCGAGAAGTTTTCATGTCGGGACGTCAGCCAGTGGATGTTTTTAAGAGATGATGTGACAAGAAAACTGAGAACACAACAACTCGCTGACATCGTGGTGAAGAAAATCTGGATATTCGTGGTGTTTGTAATATCAGAACAGGTTTGAAGGCTCTGAGATAAAACTGTCAGGTTTTTAACGGGGAAGTGAGCGTCTGTGTGACAGCTGTGGCTGCTTGATGTGATTAAATATGTCGGGACAAAGTTTGGCAGTTTGAGAAATCCTCTGAATTTTCTCCACTAAAAAAAAAAAAAAAAAACATGATTTAATGAAGCAACAATAAAAAAAGGTGCAGTTTAAACTTTAGAAGGAACACTGTTCATTTTTTCTTATAAAACATGTCTTGACGCAACAGATCATTTAAAATCCAGACAAGAGCAGCAGGAGGAGAAGAAACTGATGCAGCGGCTGATGGAGATCGTGAACAGCAGAAATGCAATTGTSGAGGTTCTTGATGAGGACAGGTTGAGGTGCAAACATCTTGAAATTTAGTTTTTATTTATACATTGTAGAACTATAGTTGGCTTTATCCAAACATGAATCAAAACTTAGTTTTATTCCTTTATTTCAGGGAAGTGGCAGAGGATCAGCAGCTGAATAAAATGATGCAGGACCTTGGTAAGCATTTATTTTTTTAAATTAAATATTCATGAATGATCTTTTTTTTAAAAACTTGTTTTATTTAACTGGAAAACAGGAGTGAAGAAAACTAAAAACAAAAGAAAATCTTCCATTTCAAAACTGTTCAGACGAAGAAGTAAAAGAAGAGTTGAATGATGATTGAAGGATTTTAATCTGAATAAATTGTTGCTTTTTTAACATTTAGAGGTTTTTATACTGATGTGTTACAGAATGTCGAATTGTACAAATTGAAACAGGGCTTGACAAAATGTTTGAATAAAATGATTTTGTTTTATTGTTCTGGTTAGTATTTTCTTTAACATAAAATTTCTGTTTTGAGTTCAATTTTTTTGTCACAAACTTCTCACGTGCATCGTTTCTGTTTGACTAAAAGATTTAGCTCATGACGCGGCGTTCACATGTTCATATGTAGCATTCACAAGTTGCACATCACTTGAAATCAAAACTTGTTCATCATGTTTCTGGATTTTTCTGATTTTTTTCTTTAAATTGTAAAGTGTATTTATTCAAGCAAATGTTTCATTTATAAAAACTTTCATGAATTCCCGAAGGAACTCCAGCTGCTTCATGTGCACATAGAAAAAAATAAACGTGTAATTCTTAACAGTTTTGATCTGAGACTAACTTATTTAAATATTTAATTTAAAAAAAATGGATGAAAAAAATTCCTAGCGAGAATATTTGAGGGAGATTTGACCCAGAGTTTGAGTGAAAGCAGCGGCTCCTCTCCCCTGCTGTACTGTAGGTGGCAGCCTGGGCATGCCGTATCACCAGGCAGGAACTTGGAAATCCAATTTGCCACAGTGCAGACAGTTAATTTCTTTGCTAATTTTATAAATGCTGCAGAAATGTTCAGCTGTGCTGATGCAATGACTGTATGTGAAAAGAGGATTAGGAAGAGCTGGAGCTCCTCGCTGAGGAAAGCTTACAAACTATAGTATTTTCTCTTCAGACCTGCTTTAATTAAACATTACTCTTATGTCTGCATCAGAACAGGCTCCAAACCTGAGCTGGTAAAACATTTTAAACCCACTTGTTTTAAAATGCTGTTTGAGAAATGGTTTTGTAATTTTACACTGTAAAACTTGTTTTATAAAGTTATGTACATTAAAATTGACCAATAAATCATTTTTGAAATTCAGATTGAGTGGTTTATCAACTTAACATTCTTTTGCAAGCCTTCTCAGTTTAACAACTCAAGCTTTCACTTTTTTTTTAACTTCCTTACATTAAAACTCTGATCTCCACAGAATCAAATTAAGCATTTTTTTTTATTTTTAATTAGGCCCTCTTATAGACGGCGTTATGAATTCTCTGGCATCAATGCGCTGCAGCCACTTCTAAAAACGACACGTCCCTCATTTTGAGTTGCATGAAATCTGTGATCATGAACTTGGAACAGAATCTTTCGAGCCGAGCGGAGTTGGGGATGCGTTTTGGTGCAAAATAAAAAAAATTAAAAAATGCCACGCGTGATGCGGGTGACAGTCGAGACGGAATGTGTGATATTAGAGTTAATTAAAGCTTTTCGCCCCATCTACTGCAAATGCTTGCACTACTGCAATTAAGAATCAAAGGCGAGGGCTTAGTGTCATGGGTGGGGTGGGGGGGGGACGCGGTGTCTAATACACGGGTTTTAACAGGAATGGGACCTGATTTGCCAAGCTCCTAGCGACAAGCATTAACAACAGCCTCAAATTAGAGGTACATTAATATTCATAAGTAAAACAATTCATCCCGTGAATGTGTGATGAAATGGAATCCTCAGAGGTGAGCTCTTGTGTCCAGGCTGCCATCGTTCATTAAAATATGCCATTACCCATGAAGTGCTTAATCTTTATGAAAGGGTGGTAAAAATCAGTTTGAGCTGCTCTGACAGAGAAGGTGGGATTTGCAATCCTGATTGGTAACAGTCGTCATTCTCCTTTTTTTTTTTTTTACTTCAATCTGATGTCAAACAATGAGTTTTCTTTGCAGCTATTTAATGTGTAAACCAGTGTTAGACAGTTGAGTATTTAACTGTTTGCTGCCTCTTGCCTCTAAATGTGTGTGTGTGTGTGTTCCTCTTATTCGAGCCTCTGCCACTAGCCTGTAATTATGATCCTCGAGGTAATTTTATCAGCCTCATTAGCTCTGATGAGTAAACGAGAAGCGTGCTTCTAATTTATTGGCCATTCAGGCTGGAGATTTTATTCTCATCAGAGAGATCATAATATTTGTACAGAGGGCGAGCGAGGGAGGGAGGGAGATGCTGTACACACACACATACACACACACCAGTCACTTACAAAGCTCCTGTACCAACACTGAGGCCAAGACTTTGGCTTGAAATCAGTGATAATGCTGTAGTGATAGATGTGCGTTTTTTTTTGTTTCTATTATTTTTATGTTTTTGGAAAGAGCAAGCATGAAAACATTTTTTTCCATTGATTTAAGCAGGATTTCAAATGAGCGTCATTGTTTGAGTTTATTTTCCTGCACAAAAAAAAAAAAAATAGATTCTCACACCACTGCGAACCAAATTGCATTGTTTTGTTCCCTGTTCGGCGTAGATTATCCATTTACTGTGTCAGAGAACGTGTTAAGGGAGCGGCGTGGAAAGAGAGATGGAAAAAAAAACGCACTCACAATATTCAGTGTGTTTTTTTGAAATTTGCATTGAGGGGAAATTATGCATGCCGGCTAGTGGAAATGAAATGTATAAAGTCCATGACTGGTAGACTTTGACGAGTGCAGCTTTCTTCCATCTCAAATGAATAATTTTCACTTCCCTTAAACATCCTTAATCCATCCATGTTATCAGGCGGCGCGCAGGATTCTGCCAGACTTTCTCCTGAAACGCACAGCAACTTTCAACTTGCCGGAGATTCTGCGCTGCAGTTGCTTACCGCTTGGTCTTAGGGACTCACTCTTATCCCCCTTTTTCCCTGCTGGTTTTGTGGATCAGTAAAATTCCTTCCAAACACAATATATACATAACGTAAGTCTTAATAGATAGGGGAATGTCTCACTCTACCCTCCTCTGTGCTGCCTCAGAGCTCAACTTTAATGCACTGTATTTTACCTCAGATTCACATTGGCAGAGAACTCAGAGGGATGGCGGCTAAAAAACCTATTTGCTCGGTGGCCCTTTTGTCCTCRATTTCAAATTTCAGTGACAGACTCTTCCATGCTTGTATAATGTGGTTTGGAATTTCATTTGGCTGTAAAAGGGATAGAGAAGGATATTCATGGTAAATTACTCATTTACAACCCAGCTTTCATAGCATTTTGACTTATTTTGGGGGATATTTTCTTGTCTTCTTTGCAGAAATGCATACGCTCTGTTGTGGCAAATACCCCACTCAGCATCCCAATCCCTTTTTAATTTATGTGCCGCAGCGTGTTTTCCAAAAAGGAATAAACAATAAAATGTGTAATTGGTGTTTATGCTGCTAATCCGCGCGATAGCCTTCAGTGTGAAGGGTTACCTGGCTATTTTCAACATCACTCTCTCAGAAGCTTCGGTTTGCGATAAGAATATTAACCTCATCAATTTCAGGTAACTTTCAACGCTTTAACATCTTGTCTTTAAGACCTACGTGTTAGCAGGAGTCTCAGCCTTGGCATTTAGTGACATTTTAAGCCTTTTAACAGAATCCAGACAGGGATTTGCCGTTTCCACCAAAGGAAAATAATTTATATCCTCCGTTTCTGAGAAACTGTGGGTAGAAGGATTAAAAGCACCAGAGAGATTTGTGTGTGGTGCAAGTAAAACAATGTTGTGACTCACTTAATACATTTCCTTCCGTACTTGTGCACTTCTGAAGGAAGTCGGGAGTTGTCGCTCATCGTTGAAGTTGGCTTTTTTTTTCTTTTTAATTTTCTCTTCTTTTTGAAGCTTCAAGTGTTTTAAGTCGGAGGGAAGATGGTGCTCTGTACTTGAACTTCTCTTGTATCTGGGCTCTGAAAACAATTTTGCGAGATAAGAGATTAGCATTTCTGTCGATTGCTTCTAAAAACCTCTGACATGGCGCTCTCTGAGCTGCATTTAAAACACAGCATACTTGAACGCTATAAAAGAAACATCTGAATGACAGCTTGGAACACAAAAGGGTTTTTCTCTGAGTGTTGGATGCGGGTTGTGGTCCGTGTATCCGCCTGTGTGCATGATGACGGCTGCTGTGTGGTGGAGACATGCAGGGCTTCTGTTCTCTCTGTGGGCAGGCAGCTTTGATGCACTGCCTCTCTTATCTCATGCCTGGCAAGGTTAATGAAGTGGTGGCACTTTTGGAGGAAGTAGAAATGGGGATGAGTAGCAAAGACCGGAGGAAGCTTGGAGATGAAACGTCCAGCTCTTAGCGACTGTAAGTGGCAATTTTTGGTGAATTACTTGGACAATAACACAAAAAAAGAGGTTGTCATCCTCTCTTCAAGCACTACAGTCTTCTGATTGCATCTCCTGCAGCCTGCATGGTCCATGTGAAATTACATTAGCATTTAGTTGTATTAGCACATGTTTGTAGAAATATTAACTTCAAAGGTTCTGCTTGTAATGCAATGGCATGAAGATGAGTAAAAAAAACAAAAGGAACTAAATCACTTCTTTTGATATTATTGATGTCCTTAAATAAGAAACATGCTACCACATGTTTACCTACTTAAACAGCTGAAATGACTGAAAATGAGTCAATTGTTTATTGAGTGCATACCGGCATTTAAA